CATGCCTTCAAGGTCAGGAAGTTATTGGTTCAAATCTGAATGAGGCCAAAGGTTTTGGTTTTATTTTGTGAAGCATGTACAAAACACACAAGTTGCTTGTGGAATCCTGTGCTTTGGTAGTATGAACAGTGGTTCTGCGGTCAGGGGATTACTAGTTCAAGCACAGGGCAGAAGTGCCAGGTCGTGGCTTCAAGTAACTATAGAGACATGAAGTATATGAGGAAGAGGGAAGTGTTAAAGAGCAACAGGGTTGTTGACTTAGCTTTAAAACCTTACAGGGGTGTATCTGTTCAAAAATACAAACTTTTAGAAACTTTGGTTTTCTTCTGGAAGGAAGACTGCATTCTTTGCTTTCTGCCTTCTTTTCTGTTTCACCTGTTTTACTCGTTCTTTTCCAATACTAACACACCACAACCAATGTTGAGACTACACCAAGTCAAAACCAGCATCCTTATGAACATGAACGAAGACAGCTTTTCCACCAAAGCACCAAATCTCACATGGAGCTACCTTTATTTAAGGGGGATTTGACTTGAACACTGAAAGACAACCATAAGATTCCAGATAAGCTCCTCTCACAAGTGTATAGAGTATATATATGGTATGTTCTGATCCAGAACACATGCTCAGTCATCTCTTTCCTAAGCAATTCTGGTTTAAGATGCTCCTTAACATGAGTGGAAACCAAGCTGCAAAACAGGGGGTCCTTGGGGGGGGGGTCTAAATAACCTCTTGGACCCCCTGAATGTCTTGAAATCAAAATTTAAGTTTTAAATATTTAAATATCAAAATCTCGTTCTGTCTGGAAGGAAGACCACTGCCTCCATTTCCTTCTTCCTCTCACCATTCTGCTTCACCACTTTTCATCAAGCCTGTTCTTGTACCAGCCTGGGCGGTGAGTGAAACAGCAGGTGCAGGTCATGCTGCTTTTGCACACCATTTCATATATCTATATATATGAAATCACTGGCTATGAGTAATTAAAGAATATTCACTCATGATACCCCCCTAGTTTTTATGAACATTTTCCCCTCAGCTACTTTCATGCTTTTCAGTCTCCTGTAACAAGGCAAAGTACAAAAAGAAGGTAATGATAATAAAAAAACACTTGGTGCTCTGGTTCAGATCAGACTGGAGCAAAATGTTCTTGGGCTCTATCCAAGTTCCGAATAAAACAGAAGCTCTAGTTTAGCCACTTGAAGTTTGGCCCTGTTCCTCACACTCATGATTTGTCTTCAGTTTTGCTGAAATCCATGCAAAATGTACATCAACTATCTCCGGGAAACTTAGCCAGCATTAGTTTAGATGAGGCATTTAATTCAAAGCTTCATAATCAAACATACACACTGTACCAGCAAAGGTGTGTGTGTGTGTATATATATATATATATATATATATATATATATATAAACACTACTTTCTGCTTATTAGAGAATACATGCTGTTTCAGTTTAATGTGTATAACTGTGCAACTCGCTAAATTAGTTCCAGTTCTGAACAACAATGAAAGTTACCTTACAGTTAATCATATCTGGTCTCTAGTATGAATGAACCGGCAGTCAATCTTCACAAGAAGGTGGCTGTTTAGACAAATTAACCTCCTAGTCTAGTCTTTGCTGCTATAGACAACGTGTGCTACAATGCAATGTATTGTAGTGAGATGGATGAATTACAATGAATTAAACTTGCGCTTTATGTAAGCTAAAGCTTGGCATGCAGGCGGAAATAGTCACATCAACTGAAATGGGTGCAGCTCCGCCCCTGTTAACTGCAGGCAGTCTAAACGGTGTCCAGCTGGCTAAAATGTGTCTCAGATTTTCACCTGTTATAAATGCATCCTGGGTGCGTTTACACCTGCATCTTTATCTAGATAATCCCTATTTGGATACAATATTGATACTTAACACCACATCCTAACAGCTAGAGAGTTAGTCAGTGAAAGTGAAGTATTTTAATTCTGTGTAAAGTTAAAGAAGCATGTAAAAATAAAATATCATTGGCTGTAAATAAATATTCTAATTCTCTGTCACTGAAGGAAAGTAAAGAATGTGTTATTTAAATATCTGTTACAAGCTTCAGATGATTGTGTTTTGGGCAGAGCAGCCATAAAATGTCAATACAACACCACTATCTTATTTCTAACACTGCAGATCTCATAGGGACAAAAGAGCTTCTCAATTAAATTATCTTAATATAATGCAGTAAACATTGTCACATGAACAGTGCATGATCGTGATACAAGGACTGTCAGGCACAGTGTAAACAAATGAATAAAACACAAAAGCACAGGACATGCAACACCCATGTACTGTAGCCCATCTGCTGATGCGGTTTGTTAGCCATCCTCTAGCCCTTCATTAGTGGTCAGTTTCTGTCCACAGCTCAAGCTGATTATTTTAGCAGTTTATTTTAGGTAGTTATAATTTTCTGGATATCTTGAAATAACAAGTTACTTATCTTGTTATCTCAAGATGACAAAAAGTGTTACCTTGAGATAGTGAGTTAATTATCGTGTGATCTCAAGATAACAAAGTTGTTACCTTGAGATAATGAGTTGATTGTCTCGTGATCTCAAGATAACAACTTTGTTATCTTGAAATAACAAGTTACTCATCTTGTTGTCTCAAGATAAAAATCCACAAAATTACAGCAACAGCTCATGGCCTCTCCGGACTTCCGTAAGACCACTGATGAAGGGTTAGAGCAGTGGTTCCCAACTCCGGACCTGGAGTACCCCCTGTCCTGCCCAGCTCCCAACACACCTGATCCATCTAATCAGATCATTAACAAGCTTGAGGTGGGTGTGTTGGGAGGCAGGAAAACACTAAAATCTGCAGGGCAGGGGGCACTTCAGGACCAGGGTTAAGAACCTGTAGGCTGGAAGATGGCTGACACAAACTGTGCATGAAAACAGATGAACTGAAGTCTGTAATTGAACACCCGTACAGTGGGCCTATAAGAATCATTCAGTGGTCAGCGAGTGGAAGTAGGTGCTTCTAATAAAGCCTATGGTGAGTGTATGTATGTGTGTTTGATTTCTTCCTAGGAGAATCTCAGAAGCAGGGTACACTCTAAAGGAGGCCAGACAGCACCAAGAAAACTAGTACAAGCAGCCAACAAATCTGACTCACACATTCTCCCACACTCACTCACTATGCCTTGGCCTTTTACACTGGTTTGAGAGTAAATTCACTGTTTCTCTAAAGCAGTTGGGCCTTGCAGTCTGATTGAGGAAAAACTGATCGTACAGCCAACAGCAAAGCGTATGGGTGTGTTTGAAATAGCATACTGTGTACTGTACACTGCACAGTGCAATAGGACTTCATAATAATATGCAACAGTATCCAGTACATGACAAAAGCAGAGTACTGCACCACAGGACATGCGACTAGACTGCCATTATCAGGGGCTGAGCCAATCAGACCTGTCTCATAAACCCGCCCCATTTTCCACTGCCATCACCAATTACTTTTCAGCTCTTTAGCAGCACATGTGGATGTATTTTGGTCAAGAGTTGAGCCTGTGTGACTTTTTCAAGACACCTCATACCATGACAGAAGGCAAGATGTTGTTTTCTCCCCGTCTCCACAGCCAAAAATAAACATATAACATGTCAGCTTTGGATTGTCTGTCTGGTAAACGTCTGGTTTTCAAAGTGGTGGGTCATTTCATTTTAATTACTTTTGTAGTTGGTAATATGAGCTAGTTTTACTGAATAATAAGCGGTCTGACAATGAGTGTGAAATGCAGATGGTGTACAGATTGTTTGGCTGGGACTAATTTTAGTAACTGTCATAATCACATTATCTATGTGGCAATTTAACATTATTACATAGACAAAATCAGCGAACCCTCCTTAAAAAAGCTGATGTGGCTTAATTTGGGCAAATGCCTTTTATTTTGAGGTTATTAAAGTATTCAAAATCAGATCAGTATTGGTTGATACTCAAGGTTTCAAATATTGTGCTACTTAGAGATTTATAGTAGTATACTTGGAAGGTGTAATCAGATCAATATAAAAGCAGTCCATCATGCTTCTGCTGTTTAAAGGATTTATCTAATGTCTTTGAGAAGCAGCCTCTCTCCATCTGTCACCCATTTCTTACGGGTTTTCAACAGTAATATAACTGGTTTCTCTCCCTTTTCTTCTGTCAGTCAGTTGTAATCTTTTGCCATTAGTGGTATCTGCACCAGACAGGGAGCAAGCAGCACCTAGCAATAACAGTCACTAGTCACTAGCCTTCTGCATCTGCAACACTGCAAGCTATGACAGCTCTTCTGACTAATCAGAAATATGGCTGAGAAAAGCTGGCATATATGTGCCAGCCCCAGAGCTTCAGGCAGAAACGTAGACGTCTGTTCTTAGACAGAACACTATCTTCAACCAGCTGCTGATGTAACCCGATCCCACACCTTAAAGTCTCAGAGAACACTGTAAAATATTAAAAATGTCTGAATGATACAAAAATCAACATCCAGTCATGTTTAAACAAAAACCAATATAGAAATATATCAAACATGTCTTTAAAATCTCTCATCAGACCTATCAGAACTATCTGATCCTAATATTCTAATGAGCATCCGTGATTGACACCCCTCGCCTCAGCCTGCTGCATCACTGAAACAGAACTACACTTAACTTTCTCGCAGCTTGAACAGAAAGAAAAAGAATATTGTGGAACACAGTTTTGCCACATCAGTCTTGTCATTGGTGAGGACACTGTATATGTACGCATGACCCAAGAAAGGACTGCCCAGTTTACATCAAGAGAAGAGAACGTTGGCAAAATACATCAACCATTTACTGGGCAATTCCAAGTTATTCACAGGACATTAATTGTACATGTATATTGTGTGCCCACAAGAACAAGCTGAACCTTCTTAGAAAGAAAACTCAAATTTAGATTCTCTAGGGGCTTTAACCACTGCAGTTTTCAAAACGTTCTTACTTTTATTCTGACAGCTGATGATGGTGTGCATGCATGTGTATGGTTTCTTACCACTTCAGGCAGTACTTTGGTGGCGAGGGCATGGATGGCTTTCACCAGAATGGTTAGAGCAGACAGGATGAACACCACCCCCAGAATAACACATGCACTGCAAGAAACACACAAATATGTAATGAATAAGATCATTTAAGCAAGACAAGACAATGTCTAAGACTAAATAGGAGTTGTTTACTGTTGATCCTGAATAGAAAGATCGAAATAGAAGTTTTTAACTGCATTAATACTACTGTATTAGGTTTTACAGATTACTATATCAAAATAGTTTGAACAAAACTAACTACCTTGGATGCCCCTGAATATTCCCTCCTAATCCTTAACAGGTGTGTTGCAACCCATTTTGATTTAATGTCTTACTCAGTAAATACTCTTGGGCCTCTACAAGCTGCCAAAACAGCTTCAATCCACTTTGCCATAAATTCTACAAGTTTCTAGAACTGTACTGGAGAGATGGAACATCATTCTTCTAAAAGATTCCCTCAGATGGTGTTTTGATGATGGTTGTGAAGAGTGCTGTTTTATGTGTTGTCCCAAAATCTGCCCTAGGTGCTACACTGGGTTGAAATCTGGTAACTGCGCATGCTATAATACTCATCAAACCATGCAGTAACCCCCTATGCCCTGTGGATGTTACTGTTATCCTGGAAGAGACCACCCCCGTTAGAATATAAATGCTTCATCATAGTATGAAGGCGCTCAGTCAGAAAAACCTTACTAATCACGTTTTTTTTTTTTACCGTAACTGGAGAAATAGACCAAAACCATGTGAACACAACACATAAACTCGCCTTACACTACTGGTTCTTACACTACTGAACTCTCAAATGTGCATTTGTCTTCGTAATGAGGGGTTTATACACTGCAACTCTGCTATGTAGTTGTGTATGGACTGTTGTTGCTGACTGTTTGATCACACCCTGACGTTCTTAGTCACCTGAGGAACAGCTGCTTTTCTGTTTTTCCTTATATATCACACTAATGCACGAGCATCACTGTCACTCAATGTGCGTTTTCAACCAAAATTTCCAACCCAATCTACAAATGTCTTGCCTGCAGATCTAAATGTAGATGTCAGTTAAGTTACTGTTCCTATTGCGGCATCGGCCAGTTGTGCAGTCTTTGTGGCTGAAACTCCTAAAATTCAGAACCCAATAATGGAGTGACTTTGCTTTCTTCTAGTAATCTTCATCCAAAATCAAATCATCTAGGCCTGCTCAGCATTTTTAACATGTGGCAGAGCATGGTAGGATGTTAACTGCATACTGGTATTATGCAGTCCACTTCTCTAGAAGTTTCTTTTCTGCACTCATGTATTTAGCTTTTCCTTTTCATCTGTCAGCCCTGTCTGTTACTCACAGTTTTCCAGCCCAAGAAACACAGCCACATAAACAACTCATATTGTTAACAAAGAGTATGATAAACATACCACACGTGGTTGTGGCCTTGTAGTATTGTTATTGTTTATAACCCTTTGCTTCAGTTTCTGCTTTGCTTGTTGCAGTCATTCCTGAATGCATTGTTGCACAGCTGATGTATGTTCAAGATCTCACAGTGGCACACAGGTTACAATCCCATGAGTTCATCTGTGACCTTTCCAGTGTGATGATGTATGGCTGGCTCATAAGGACAGGGAGCTCAAACCCACAGTGGACTGCTGGGGCAACGAACTAGTTCCCTGTTACTGGATTTCATTTTTGCCCTGGATTTAATAAATGGAGTTTGTTAATGTTCTCCTTACTCTGACACATCTAATTCAGGGTTTCCTAATAAGATAATGGTAGAATCAAGTCTGTATTCCACTGAGTTTGGTTTGTGCATGAATATAGCCCAACAAAATTCTGTGGAAACTCAACCAGCGACTGGATTAAACTTTATAATCCCAATGACAAATGTCAGTCTCAAAACTGTAACCCAATCTGAGATCGACAAACATTTATAAAGTTATATTCAGAACGTGACCAGATCCTAACATCAGTAAAAAAACAAAATTTGTAATTTTACTTATATCCCCTATTATCAACATTGTCTTAAGTTTTAAGTTGGGAAATTTAACCTAATAATGCAGAACTGGCAGTCTGGCAATGTACTTTCAGCTTTCAAGCCTGAGGCTTAATTTATAGAAAATAATCACATTTAAATTACCATAATTCGATATTTTTCTTCAAAACATTCCCACTAAATAATTCAAGCTCTATTTATTTTGAGTAAGACTGCTGTACGGTATGTGGTCAGCAAGTCCTGGTCATGAAATGCTCAAACAAAAGTCACCAGCACTACATCATACAGATCTCCATCGTTACCGTCATTAGCATCACCCAGACTGGTCTTTGTTAGCCTCCTCCAAAACCCCCTTACGTGTACCATCTCCTCTCGCACTGTCTCTTTCACTTTATCCACAGATAAAGAAAAGCAAGGTCACCATAGCAACCAGGTCGCTCACATCCTCTCTGGCATCCCCAGAGTCATCAATGATGGAACAGCGCATCTGCTCTGCCGCTTCGCAATTAAAGTTGGTGGAATACAAATTAACACGTACATGTGCAGGTGGCTTAGGACAAATACCGCATCCTGGCCCTTAAATGGACGAAAGGAAAGCATTCTGTTCTTAGAGAATCTATAGTAAGCAAGCTTTGCGCTGTTTTACAGGGGAAGCTTTACTGCAGTTGATGGAGGCACAGGAGGGCTGTGCTCAACATACTGACACCGTGATTAGGGCTTAAATTGAATGGGTTCTACCAGAAGCCTGTCTTCAAAAGGTCAGAGCCTCAGCTCACTGGCTTTGCCATCTGAGCTGCTACTGATATAATGGCTGATATAATTGTGGATCTAAAATAAATGGGCTTAGTTAGAACTTAACCATAGAAATTCAATATTAGCAATGTATTGAATTATTATACCTGCATTAGAATAATGCCATGTAAACCTGCTTCCACATAACAGGACAGTGTGGCCTTAAATGCCTTGCCTTCTTAAAAATATCAGCTTTAACAAGTTCTGCGATGCATTTATCATATTGACCACACTTCATTTTGATGGTCCCCGAAAGCTTATCTACAAACGCTGGTAACAAAAACTACACTTTGAACAAACAAACAATACAAGTTGATTATTAACAATGTTAGGGTTATGATTAGGAAAAGAGGCCCAAGACTCAAAAGAAGAACTCCTAGTCTGTGCCAGATAGCGGTGTTATCATAGAAGTAGCATATGTTTCCAAAGAAAATTAAACAGAGGCTCTCAGGCCATGCAGAGGAAAGATCCACAAGATAAGTCAATGATTAATGCTAAATGTCTGACAACAAACCATCAGAAAAAAAGATCCTGCAGACTGATTGTGTTAAATATGAGAACATGGTAGGTGAGAAGTTCAGTGTTAGTGTAAGGCAGGTTCAGCACTTAAAGAAACAGGTTAGGAGTTCATGCAGTAGTTGGCACTCAGTTAAAGTCAACACATGAACTTTCACATGAAAAACTGCAGTAAACAGTTTTATATTTATACTGTTCTTTGCAGAAATCTTATCCAGAGATTATATCAACAGGCCTTCATTCTCGCAAGTTATTTGAATGTGCAAAATTTCTAGCATGTGCAAAACTATTAACCCTTAAAATCCCAGGCATATTACATACTAAAGCTTATTATTCAGTAACTAAGCAAACTGGCTGAGCTATTCTTAGGTTATAGAAAAACAGTGGGTCCTGGCCATTTAAAGGTTTAACAAAAGCAGGGGTTGAATAAGAACAGTGTCAATGTCCAAACCCTAATTATGAATAGTGAACAATACTGAATTTATGTACTGGACTGGACTGGATCATAGTACAGCTACATTCTATATTTATAGGACATTTATATTTGTCAGCCAATATCTAATGTATGATTCATTATTGTAGGTAATATAACAAAAAGGGGACAACAGATTTTTTACACAATATAAAGGACAGCCACCATGTTCAAGTAATAAAAAACAACAAAAATGGAGATAAATGTTTTTATTTTTTTGTACAGCGACAATATATTAGCTGTATATATAGCTGTTTTCCATTTCTGGCATCTGACTGAAGCGCACTGGTCAGGTTACCACTCATACTCATATATCATACAGATCTCTGTTGTTAACGTCACAAACATCACCCAGAAAATCCCCTCAGAAATACTGGTGTGCGTATCATTCACTTCACTTAATCTTTATCATAGTGGCCAAGACTGAAATTCGAGGACATGTCCAGAATTGTTGGAGAACACCAATGACATAACAACGTGGGAGTCCAAGCTATATAAAGGATTCTTCATGGAAGAATTCCTTCACATCTATCAGGATACAGTAACGTCAACTAGCTTAACATCTACAGGGTGATGAAATGATGGACAGGTGAAAATAACCATAACCAAAAACCTAGATTAGCCATGTTAGCTGGGGATGTTAAACAGCTTGCTAACAATAAACTAGTTGGCAAAAAGGTAAACAAGCACACATACCGGTACCACGTTGTCATGGTCCATAAAGCCACTGTAGACGTTTTCCACAACCACCGACTCCAGTGACCTGAAATCTACTTACTGTCGAGCATTTGGTCTCTCTAATGCCTACAGTTTTTAAGGGGGAGCATGAAACTGTTTCACTGAGAGCAGCTGCAGCACCAACTTCAAAGCACAAACTGTTTTCAGTGTAATGTTAGTCAGCAGCGGTGACTCATCCTTTTCTTCTGTATGAGAAAGTTTGCTCCTTTGTTCCCCCTAATTGCACAAACTACCTGAGAAGCCATCGAAACTGAGGTAAGACTGTTTGTGCTTTAAACTCGAACACTTGGGTAAAATGCGAAAATGTGAAAAAGCCTAAATGGTTGGCACTACAGCGGAAAAAAGGCCTAGTTTGTGCTCAGTATTTCTTCCTCATGCTATTTTTCTGACACTGTCTCCCTCAGAGTCGCTCATTAGGGGTTTAGACCTGGATAGCTGCTTTGGGACAATGTTGTAAAAAGCACTATACAAATACAGCTGTACTGAATTTAATAGAATTTAATTACTGAAATGAGCCCAGATATACAAGCTGTTCCCTTTTTACTACGGAGGATGAGACAATGAGGATTAAATAG